AACTTTGTTTGAAAAATTATTCTTATTTTTTGTAAAGTTATTAATTTATTTTAAATATATCAAAATACACTTTATTTACTTTGATTTCTTTTTATAACTTTCCTTGCCTAGATTAAGGCAAATCTAAGGTGTGTGTTGTAAATAATTGCATTTTTATATAACTTTTAAAAGAATGTCTTGGTAAAATTCAGATGTCTCTAGGACGTCTGAATAAGACGTCCTTAAGTCTTTCATATGAGACCAGATAGAGACGTCTTTAGAACGTCTGCGGAAAACGTCTCTTGGACGTCTTTAAAAGACGTTAAAAACGTCTGGAATAGACGTCTCCAAGTCTTTCATTTGAGACCAACTAAGGACGTTTTACGGACGAGACTTGAGACGTCTTTTGGACGTCCTTAGGACGTCAAAATGGCCGCTGGGTATGTTTTAATAGTCCTTCCTCCACCTTCCCTAAAATAAAATTAAAGCCTTAATACTACATTTCTACGAATTTCTAACTAACTTCCATATGAATTAAAAATAATAAAAATGTTTCATGAAGTTACATGAATCCTGTGCATTCCATTAAGTATTAGAATTGACTTTTTTTTAACTTTAAATACAAACTCAAAAAGCTATTTCAACTAACTGAACGAGTATTACTTTAAGTTATCAGAAAGCCAAAATTTTGCGCTAAAATGATTAAGATCTTCGTAGAAGACAATTCAGATTATCAATAAAGATTATCGTATTTCAGGTATGCTTTATTCTATGGCAATAAAAAATAGTTATAATGGTTTTCAAAACATTTTTTAGTTAAAATAAAATCATTTTTAATTATACACCTTTATCTCAATACAGACACCAATCCCTCACACCATTATAATCTGTAAGATATCAATGTTAGCTTACTATATAATTTGTCTATTGTCTAAACTATATTAATTAATCTTATATTGTTTAGGAACTTAACTTCCAACAGGTATGAATACTTTGCAACATTTTAAATATAATCAATCGAATTTGCCAAATGGAATTACAAAAATGTTAGATATTCTATACTAACTTTTAAAGTCAATCATAGAAGCTGATAGATTGAACATGGAACAAGCTGAATGTGAATGTATCATTCAAATTCAGCTTGCTTAAATTTTGTTTTGAATTCCAAAAGAAATTCAAAACAAAATTTGAATAATCAAATTTAAGATTTGAAAATTTTCTTTAAACATATTTTTTAGATTGGAGTTCCAGAGATAAAAGATTTTATCAAAGTCTGCATCGTGTAATTTATATTTTTTTCAATTTGAGAAATTAATGATTTGATAAATTTTTTTTTGCAGTTTCGTGTCTTATCTTTTTTTTTTTTTTTTTCTTTTTTCTTTTTCAGTTTACATTACTTACATGTCGTGATTTCCATGTAATATAAACATATAAACTTGGAATCTGGAAGAAGATCATATCGATCTTGTCGCCAGAACCATATAAAAATTACAATATACATATAATATAGTATAATACAGGTAGTTTATAACAAAATAAGAATCCAAAACATTTGAAATAAGAAATGGTTAAAATAATATCTCAAAAATATTTCAATATATTATCCGTAGAAAAAATAATATTCTTTAACTTGTTTTTAAAAACAGAAAAAGAGATAGATGAATCTAAATTAGGCTGTACAATTTTATTCCAGATATAAAGTTCTCGATAATCTATACAAAATTGATTAAACTTTGTTTGACAAAAGGGTTCTTTTAAATAGTTATTATTTCGCAAACTATATTTATTCTTTACTTTAAAGGTAAATAGATCTTTAAAAGCATGAAATAAGGGGTTATTCATACAACAAAACGTAAAACATAAAATATTGTACAAGTTAAGTTCATAATCATTTAATACATTCATATCGTTAAATAAAGGTTTTGTATTTGAAAAACGATTTAAAAAATATATTATTCGCATTGCATGTTTCTGATGGCGGTAAAGACGTTGCAACTTACTTTTACCTGTACTTCCCCGGGCAATATTTGCATAGTTTATATAGCTATGAATAAATGAGTAGTATAGTTGTTTTAAATTATTTTTATTTAGATAATTTCTGGCCTTATAGAGGATACCAATACTTTTCGCAACTTTTGTTGATATATAATCAATATGAGCTTTCCATGTCATATTTTCGTCAAGATAAATACCTAGAAATTTTAAAACGGAATCTTTTTTTATTTCTTCTTTGTCAATATGAAGTTTAGGTAAATCATAAGGCAAAAAGCGTTTTTTTGTTGAGGAGTGGAAAAGGATCCACTTTGTTTTCTCAATATTTAAGGTTAATTTATTGCATTTAAACCAGTTAGAAACTTGATTAAGTTCTTTATTCATATCTAATAAAAGTTTGTTAATGTCTTTGCTTGACAAAAATAAATTGGTATCGTCAGCAAACATGATCTCAATTAAGTACTGGTTCAAGTAGTCACTGGATATACTAATGGATTACTTTACCCTTAAACTATATAGAGTGAATTATTAGGATTTTGATTTAACAAAATTTTAAATTTTGTTTAACCTTCACTATGCTGATTCTACCGTTTTATTTAACCTTCACTATGCTGGTTCTCACCGTTTTATTTAACCTTCACTATGCTGATTCTCACCGTTTTATTTAGCCTTCACTATGCTGATTCTCACCGTTTAATTTAACCTTCACTATACTGAATCTCACCGTTTAATTATTAATTAAGATATTGATTATATATATTTCATAAATATATTTAAGTGTCTTTTCCCTTGTATTTTTAATTTTTATGCTAGTCTACAATTATATTCAAAAATGAAATAAATCTATTTTAGTATAATATTCAAAACCAGTGAAAATAAAGAAACATAGAAATGCAATGTAAAATATGTCTTCACGTAAAATAATACAATGTTATATAGAAAAAGAAAAAGAAGGAGAAGTCAGAATTTAGACTGAACAAAGTTCGGATAACTTTTCTGATTCTGATTTTGAACCAGGCGAGTAGATAAAAAGAAAAAATAAACCAAAGAGTTCAGCAAACAAGCCAACATTCCTAAAGGTATATATTCAGGAAATGTTGCATTAATAATATCTGTTAATAAATCTCCCCTATGATTCTGAAGAGAGTTACAACTGCGGTTGCTCGCGCTGCAAGAGTAGATATAAAAGCCATCAAATCAAGCCAAAGATACATTGAGGAAAAAAAGCAAATGACACTTATAACGATAGACAACATTCGTTATGCCATGAGAGAACCGAATATAATTAAAATACGTAATAAGCATCTTAAGGCGTTTGAAAAATAGCTGCAATAGTTAAGTGTTCAAAAATGTAAAAGCTTACCTATATTCAAAAATGAAATTATAATTAAAATACGTAAAATATAATTAAAATACGTAATAAGCATCGTAATAATTAAAATACGTAGTAAGAAATTATAATTAAAATACGTAAAATATAATTAAATTACGTAAAATATAATTAAAATACGTAATAAGCATCTTAAGGCGTTTGAAAAACAGCTGCAATAGTTAAGTGTTCAAAAATGTAAAAGTTTACCTATATTAATATGTAGAACTGGTATAATATATAGTGCTCTACACTTAAAGAGTGATGAGTCCAAACTACGTAGAGTTTGTAACTTTAACAGCTGTAACACACTAACATACAATCAAAATAAAAGTTAGTATTTAAAATATTCATCCAATTTAATTTTGCTTTGATTGATACTGACTGCGTCCATTGTTTCTTGTTTAGGGTTGTTCCAGTCATTTACTACTCTATTTGTGAAAAAATTATGTCGTTTTATATTTCCTGTATATTGCCTTCTCAGTTTACTGTTGTGACCTCTATTTTTATATACGTTATCAAGCATTTCGGGTTTTGTGTAAAAATTTATAGTATCGTACCTTTTCAAATATTTGAACATTTGTATCAAATCACCCCTTTTTCTTCCGTTCTCCAACGATAGTAAATCCAACTTTTTTAACCTCTCTTCATAGCGATACCCTTTCAAAATTTTTATTCTAGAAGCTCTTTGTTGGACACACTCTAGCTTATATTTATCATATTAACGATAAGGTTGTCAGATAGGAGCTGCGTATTCCAAATTTGGACGTACTAAGGCTTTAAACAAAAGTTTCATCGTTTTTTCATCTAAATATTTAAAAGTGTGTTTGATCTGACCTAGTTTTTGATTTGCTTTATTTACTGCTTTATTTACACGGTGTTTCTATTCCAAATAATCTGAAATGTACACTCGTAAATTCTTTTCAATGCTTGGGCAGGCTAAAGCTGTATTATTCATTAAAACTTTGTGCTGGCTATTTTCCTATTATCATAACTTTACATTTTTGCTGGTTGAATTTCATCAACCACTCATTTGACCATTCCATTAAAAAGTCTATATCTATAAGTCTATATATTTTTTTATCTATCATTTATGTATATGATAGAAAAAAAAAAAGGCTAGTTGTATGGAAGATGAAAATGGGCATGTTGATGCAGTTGCAGAGAGAGTACATGGTTAAAAGGGATTCAACTTAAGAAGTATTAAAGAAAAAATGTTTAAATTTTTAAATGCATTAATATTAATAGTTTTATATATTTTTATAATGTGTACCATTATAGTTTTACAGTACATATTTTAATAGTAAATATGATTTTCTTTAGTTTTTTATATATTTATAGCTTTAAATAGTTATATATTATAGAATTAAGAAAAAAAGTTAACAGAACGTCACTTATGCAATATCAGATGTATATTACACCACAAGTGGGCTATTCTTAATTAGAAATCAATTTAGAAAATAAAAAAGCTCAGCTAAACTTATTATTTATGACTCATTTGGTTGGAAAACTGAAAAAAAGAAAAAAGATCTTTAAAAGTTTGGAAATAGAAAAAGATAATTTACATATTTGTTTCAAGGAAAAAAAAATTAAAGCAAGTGCAGAAATTAGATTTTCTAAAAATGTGACAAGTATATAAAAAAACGTAAAGAAAGTTTTC